AAATAAAATCTATTAGGTCCCCCCCGAGATTTGGGGGTCAGGGTTATCTTCTGCACAGTCTGGAATCTTCTACGATAGTTGTGGGTCATGCTTGTTTTCCTTTTTTCTTTTCCTGGATTTTATTTATTGTACAAACATTACCAAGGAATGAAAATCTGTTTAAAACTCCCAGTACCCCAGTATCCCAGTATCCAATCTAATCTGTAAGCATTTAACTTCTTTCCTGTGCTGAAAGAACTAAAGTAGGTCATGAAAGTTTTCTCTATCTTGGCCACACCATAGTGCTCATTAGTCAAAATGTCCAAGCACTCATGCAGCTATGGATTTTACTGTACAGGGAATATACATCTATAACCAGACAAAATCATATTTCTTATGAATGTCCCCCTGTCCCATGCCCAGCAGAAATAACAATCTGACCTTATTGCTGCCTGTCCCTTCCAGTGCAGTTAAAGGTGTGGTTTTGCACTATTGTTACCCACACACGCTCACCATTTCACATCTTTTTCAGGACATTCACAACAGGCAATAAAAGTGATCAGAACAATAAGAGACCCCCAGACTCAGGTCCCCACAGCAGCTTTGTGCCTTCCCACCAGTGCCTCATCTTCAGTCCCCAAGCACCAAGCATGCTTTCGCTGGTGACCTCCTCCCACCGGACTCGCCAGTCACACGGCCTGACGATGTCATTCAGCGACCTGCAAACTCTTCCTACTCCAGGAACTGCAGAGGCAGGGACCAGCCCAGAGCAGACACTGAAGGGGACACGTGACAATGTCCTTACCACAGGAAGAAAGGCACCGTCACACACAGTCCTTGGTGTGCTAGTGTGAAAGAGCTGGGGAAGCAGCATCTTAATGCAAGACCAGAGAAAGATCAGAACAGACCAGGCTGGGAAATCTGGGACAGCTCAGATGGCTCCAGGGAGTCACCGAGGGGAAATTAGAACATGAAGAGCTTTGAAGGAGCTGGACTATGGATATAGGCCACAAAGGAGACGGCCAACAACCCCCACCTTTATACCAGTTTATGGGCTCAGGTTCTTCAGATACCTTCTGTGTGTGTGTGTGTGTGTGTGTGTGTGTGTGTGTGTGGTACCAAGAATCGAACTCACAACCTCACACTTGCCAGACAGGTGCTGTACCAGTGAGCTATATTCCTGGCCCCAGATACCTTTATCTTTGCAGCCTCCTCAGGCTCAGTCTGGATTTCACTATCTGAAATGATCTGGACCTCACCCTCCACAGGAGACCCAAGAACTCGCACCACTAGCTCAGGCCATCCTGTATTTTCTCCATGCACCCATGCACATGGAGTACCTATTGCTTAGTACTATAATGCTGTCAGGCCCGTCAAGTATCATTTAAGAAACTCAAGACATCTTTTCTATTTTTGTAGTCAAATATATTATATGTATGTCTACTTGCCCTGTTAGATTGCTCTTTCCTTTTTCAAATTCAGGTCTTCTATTATCATCCCTTCCTTTTTCACTATTTTTCCTTTAGCTGTTATTTAAGGGCAAGTCTATTAACAACAGCTTCTCTTATTCCCCTTCACCAGAATGTCCTTATTTTGTTTTGAACCCTGCAGGGGTATTTTTGTCAAGCACAGAATTCCTGGTTTTGACTCTTTCCACAGCTGAAAGATACAGTGCCACTTCTTCACTTGATTGATGTGTGGTTCTTTTGGGCAACTTTCAAAACCTCCTCTGCTTCGTTTGCAGGAGTTCGATCATGATGTGCTTTGGTTTGTTTCTTTGAGTTTATTCTGTAGAAGATTCAGTCAGAGTCTTGAGTCTGTAGGTTTATGATTTTTGTCAGATGTACTTCCTTGATTCTTTTAGAATCACCTCCCCTCCCTACTTCTAGGTCTGTAATCACACAAATATTAGATCTGTGTGATAGACTTCCACTGACAATTTCCTCACTATTTACAGTTGTGCTTAGTCCAGAGGAATGAGGACAGATGAATCTATGCCATCAATGCCCCGTCTCATGCTCACGGTTTTTGTAAACTGAGTCACTAGCTGCACACAGCCACAGTGATCATTTACATGATATCTACCACAGCTCCTGAGCAATAACCAAACTTAGTAATTGCCACATAGACCCTGGCACACAAAACCTAAAATATTTATTATTTAGCCCTTTTCAAAAATGTTTGCCAACCTCTAGTTCAGATGTAGCCCTCAACTCAGCCAGAGTTCTAAAACCTACAGCATAGGTGGGTCTGGTGCCAGATGCCTGTAATCCCCACACTCTAGGAGACTGAAGCAGGATGGAAAGTTTGAGCCCAGCTTGGGAAACTTAGCAACTTAGCAAGACCCAGTCTCAAAAAATAATAAAGGGGCCGGGAATGTAGCTCAGGCAAAGGCTCTGGGTGAATCCCTAGAACCACTAACACACACATACACACACACACACACACACACACACACACACACACACACAGAAGAACAAAGATAAGAATTTCCACAGACCTCAGTCTGATAGTAGGCAAGCTGAGAAATGACGGACAAGTATTTTTACAGCGTCCAATGAACAACAAACAGAAAGTCAACTTATGATTTCGATGACAACTTTTATAAGTAAATATACTTCATCAGAATGCATAAAACACTCTATAAAACCCAGAAACTCCAATCCTAGGTATTTACTTAAAATAAATGAAAACACACGGTCTCATAAAATTTGCACACAAATGATCGTAACAGTTTCAACACCGAGTGGTTGAATTAACAAACTGCACCCTGGTCACACAGCACATCATTGCTCAGCTATGCAAAAAAAAAAAAAAAAGCGCCTGCCTGGCAAGCGCAAGGTCGTGAGTTCGGTTCACTGGAAAGAAGAAAAACCAAAAAAAAAAAAAAAAAAAAAAAAAAAAAAAACGGCTAGAACTATTATTGTCTGGATTTGTGTGTTCCTGCCCTAAAATTCGTATGTTGCAATCTTAACATCCAAGGTGATGCTATGAGGACATGAAGCCCCTGGGCAGCGATAAGGTCATGAGAGTGGCGGCCCATGAATGGGGTTGATGACCTATAAAAAGGGATCCCAGAGCGCCGCCCTGTCCCTCCACCAAGTGAGGACACGGCAAGAAGATGCCATCCAGCTACAAGCCAGGAAATGAGCCCCAACCAGACACTGAATCTGCCAGCGCCTTTATCTTGGTCTTCCCAGCTGCAACAGTGCAGAAGGGAACTGATGTTGTTTTAAGTCCCCTGGTGCAAGGTATTCTGTTCTAGCTGCTTGGATGAACTAAAAGAACATATACAACACGAATAAATCGCAAACAGCACCACGCTGAGGAAGAAAAGCCAGACAAGTACATCTGCATGCTGTGGTTCCATCGCTATGGAAACGAGTGGGGAACGAATTTGTAGTGAAGAAGGGAGACCGGCAAGTGCCTGGTACTGGAACTACAGAGGCCTGGGTCATGTGTTCTCTGTTACTATGACAAATTCCTCAGATAATCAACTGATGGAGAGAAAAGATGCACTGTGGCTCCTAGTTTCAGAGGCTTCAGTCCATGGGGTGCTGGGGCCATTGCTTTGTGGGCTGTGGTGAGGCAGCGAATCACGGTGGGATATGCAGAGCAGAGCACAGCAGAGCATCCTGTCCAGCTCATGGCCAGGAACCACAGGGGAAGAGGACGTGCACATCCTGTAGCCCCTCGAAGGGTGCACACCTATGACCGAAATCCTCCCGTGGGGCCCAATCTCTCGAGCGTTGCTGCCACCCACTAATAGCACCAAGCTGGAAAACAAGGATTTAGCACATGCATATTTGGGGGACCTTCTGGAACTATAGCAAGAGAAGAGAGGGACACAGGGAACTTGGAGGTCATGGAAGTCCTTTTCAATTGTGTTTGGGTACACAGGTGTACAAACTTGTTAAAACTCATCCAAATGTGTACTTAAAATAGGTACATTTTACTATGTATGTACTATCCATATTATACCTTAGTGAAGTCACTTTGGTCAATGTTTTTGTTTTTTAAGTAAAGAATGAAGGATACAGACACATGCAAATGGAAATCAGTGTTGATAAAGATGGACAGTGATTCCACATTGCACCTCACGGGTGCCAGTTGCCACTTTCATCTTGTGTTTGTAATCAGGTGCAGAGGAGTGGGACGCCTAGCCCGGAGGCTTCCCGGGCATGCAGACCAGGTGACAACTCACAGGCAGGTGAGTAGAAGATCCTAAAGGAGCTGAAAGGCAGGTGCTCAGGACTGACAAAGACAAGGGCCACTGCGGCTACACAGGGTGTCTGTACACACGAAAGAGCAACACACGGACCTCCCCAGGCTTTCCCAACTATGGACAGCATCCCAGGCACCTGCTGGCCCCCAGTGGTACAGTGAAGGGTTTGCTGGTCTCTGTCCTAGCTGGGCAAGTCCTGGGGAAGGAGCTCCTTCTTTCTTGTGTCCTGGGGCACAGGAACATCTGTTTCAGCATGGAGTGGTCAAAAGATTAAACTTAAAGATAAATTTAAAATATGCAGAAGGACAAGGAGATAGAGACACCAAACGAGGACAACTGTTCCAGAGAGGGGACCTAGTGGCGGACTGGTAACTTCAGTGGTCTCCCTAACCCGCCCACTGGTCCTCCGCTCCTCTCCCCTGCATCTCACTGAAGCTCCCTGGAGAGCTGTCCTGGCTCCTTGGAGAGGACTGTGCTGGCCAGAGCTTGGTAATTCCTTTGCAGCACACACACCCACTGCTTGCGTGGGGCCTGGTCTGCGTTTCTTTGGATGATTGCTCCTGTGCTGTCTCTGCAACCAGGGGCGGTGGGAGATATTGTTCAACTCTGCAAATCTGCACAAAGGAAAGAATGGGTGGCAATCTGTACCATTCTAAACCCAAGTTGATGTAGTTGAGCTGTAACCTCAAATGCTCACTTGACAGGGGCTTCCAAAGCCTTTGCCCACCCTCCATGGAAAAAACCATTTTCCTCCCAGGGTACCATCCTCTACATAAAATCAGTCAACACGGGAAAGTACATTTTAGTGATGGATCAACAGAGAAGAACCAGCCTGCTCTATCTTGTGGGATCACAGCTGAGGATGAGGGACCCTTCCCAGCTTAACCCTCCGGAATCTTGAAGACTTTCTGGAGGAAGAAAACTTCAAGCAGCTCATGTCAAAAGCCAGTAGCTGGGACAGTAGTCTGCAGGATTTGAGGGAAAAAAAAAAACAACAGGAAGTGAGTGTTTTCCGTTGGGAGAAATTTACAAAATATCTGTTAGATGCCTGATTGTTCTAATGTCATTTTCCCCCCAGAACACTGAAATATTACATTAGCAAATCTTTTTGGTTAAGCAAGTTTCTCTCAGAGAATACAGTAGTATTAGTTTGCAAATAGTCACAGAACAGTTTTTATGCGCTGAAAGATGTTGCTTTTCTTTGAAGTCTGCTGTAGCCAGAGAAAAAAAGCCTTCACACAAACTGCGCAGTCTGTCTCTGGCTTCTCAGTGGTTTAGAGCTCAGTTTAGTTGCAAGGTTTAACCTCTGTGACCATAAACATCACATAAATGGCTCATGGAAGTTGCAGTCTCCCTCAGGGTCTGGAAAGCAGAGGAGCGGCCAGCAGCCTCGGCCCAGTAGGGCCTGTATTTCCCCTTCTCTACGACCCATGGCCCCACTGCCTCTGGCAACCAGGCCCTACCAGGCCTCCCCACGGCCCTGGCCCAGCATCCCGGTTCTGTGTGGGTTTCTCCTGCCTCAGTCAGAGGGACGGTGTGAAAACACAAAGCTGCCCAGGATATCTCCAGATTGAAGTGTTCTTCAGACAAGGTTCAGCATCCCCCAAACACCCTGCTGGACCTGAACACAGGCTGCTGACCTCCTCCCAGGGGCACCCAAGCCCCCTTGGGGTCAGCTCTGTGGATGTTCCACATTCTTCACCCAGCTCAGGCTCAGGGCAGGACCAATCTTCCCTCTTCCTGAGCATCCTGGGGGGATGAGGATGGAGCTGCAGAGAACCGCATCTTTTTCCTGCTTCATGCACCCTGGAGCTCAGAACCCTGCCTCCCCAGAGCTCAGGGTGCCCAGGAAGGTGCCCAGAGCTGTGCCGATGGGTCCACTCCTTTCCATCCCTGCCAAACTCCCAGTGCTTCTCCAGTCTAGTCCTTCTGAGAGACGGTGACACCACAGGATCGGAAGCCACACAACAGAAATGACAGAGCAGCTGTCACCCTGTGCTACAGAGTGTCCACAGGGGAAACAGCCAGCCCTGGGCACTCACAGGAGAAAGAAACATGTTTGCTGCCATTTAAGTGAATAAAACTTACGGCTGATTTGTTCCTGACTTTTCTCTAACCTGTTCAAACTCATGGGGCTTCTCCAGAGCTTTGTTCTACTCACTGCACGTTATAAAAATCAAATGAAATGTTTACTTGTGTAATTATATTTTTCTACATGGATATTCCTTTTGGGACGTACAAGTTCCATGGAGATTCTTAACCTAGTGTCTAGCACAAAATAGGCACTCACTAAATATCTGTTGAATGGATGAACGAATGGCAAGCACTTACATTTGCATTTTCCCATTTCGTTTGTTTGGTGACCCAGAGTGACAGACGCCTAGATAAGTGCACAAGACAACTTCTGTAATTGTAAGTCTTGAGATGGACTACCAATCTCTACCCCACCAACTCACATAAAACTACTGGAAATGATTAAAAACTGAGCACATATCAAAGGCACAGTGCCAGGCACAGCCTTTAGGGTTTCAGACATGTGACTTCATGGACCCAGGACAGAATACATTGATCATGTCTATTTTATAGTTGAGGAGGCTGAGGCATGAGTATGTGAGTGGCTCATCACAAGTCCAACCACTGGTGTGGCAGGCAGCGAGGAACTGACCTCAGATTCATCTAACAACTCACCTGGACCCTCTCCCATCCCGAAACACAGGGTCTGCTCACTGGTGTCACACACACGGACAGATGGCTTTCTCTGGATCCTGCACCTGACATTTTCTTCCTGACTGTGGGATGTTTTCAAAAGTAGAGCAGAGCAAGAAGTTCAGACTTCTACATGGGAACAAACAAATAAACAAACACTGATTCCATCTAGAAACCCCAAAGCTAAGAACAGCATCATCTCTGAGGAATCCACTTGACAGTCACGAAGAATCACCATCAGATAGCACCGCAGGTTGCAGCTGCTTGGGACCATCACACCTGCCCTCTGCGCTTGGAAATAGATGTGCATGTGCAAGATAAAAATAGGTTTCCAGAACCAGAGCTTCATAGCTATGCTTTTGAAGGCCAAGCAGAATCACTTGCCTGTCCTGAGGCCTGGCGTGTTCCCAAGGGTGGGAATGAGTGATGGAAGTGATGGAAGAAATGAATGCTCGAGTGAAAGGGAGCCAGAAGGAACATTAAAGACCACGTTATCAAATCCCAGGTCACATATTGTATTCCTGTCCCTGACATTTCTAACAAGTATAATCTGTCTTGGCTTCAATCCTTCCAGGAACAGGGATTTAACCACTGCCCTGTGCAATTAAATTTATTGCTAAGAATTTAGAACTGAGGTACAAATCTCTCCGCAACCCAGTCTCCCTCCTCTCTCACATTCATGTCTCTTTCCAGAGCACGTTTGGCACATAAATTGTATGGAAGCTACGGAATGTAAAGACAGAGGAAATGCTGGGTTTTCTTACAAGTATTAAAAGTCCTTGGGAAAAAAGAAAATAACAGAGTCAGATTGACCAACTATGCATTCAAGGAATGCTGTGAAAATCCAGACGGCCGTCATAGCAGGATAGAGAAAGATGCTTATCATTGCAGCTACGTGATGTCTTGCACTGAATTTCGGTACTGGGGTCTAATAATAATGACGCGCTGCTACCAAGAGGTCTGAATGCACAACCTTGGCAGAAAGCCTATGTGGACGGCAAGCTCATAATAGGAAAAGTGTTGGACCGTTGGACCTAAGAGAGTGCTTTTCAGTGGTTGACATAAATAATCCTTCTAATTTTATCTTGATGTAAAGTATATGTACATTTCAATGCACAGATCTTGACTATTTACTTAAAGAAGTTTTGTTAAATGTACACACCTCTGTAGCTCAGGTTACAGTCAAGATATAAAGTATCTGTCATCCCAGAAGTCCTCCCTCCTGCCTTTTCTGAAACGATTTCACCTCCCAAAGGCAGCAAACATTCTGCCACAAATTTGTTTTGTCTGCTCCTGACAGTCATATAAAGAGAATCATGAAGTACCTGGCTTCTTTTGTTCAGTATATTCTTGAAAAATGCCCATAGCACTGTGTAATTCAGTAGTTAATTCCTCTTCATTGCTCAGCAGTACCTTATGGTACTATGTTGGCCAACGTTCCCATTGCTGGGACAGAATCCCTGACATACCCAGCTTGGAGGAGGAAATGATTTACTTGACTCCTAGGTTCAGTGGTTTCAGTCCATGGTCACCTGACTCCAAGGCAGGAGCATCATGGCAGAAGGGTGTGGTGGACCAAAACATCACACTTCCTATCAGCCAGCAGCAAAACATGGGGAGGAGCACAAGACAGAGCTAAGGCCTTCACAGGCTCACCCCCAGTGACTCACTTGCTTGACTGGAGCCCACATGCTAATTTCGTATATCTTTTATTCCGGCTTTTTGGCTGTCTTTGCTTTCTGGCCATCATGAAGTAAAGGCTTTCCTGTCATGCCCCTTTGCCATGATATTTCTGCCTTGAGCCAGCTGACCATGAATTAAACCCTCTGAAACCATAATCCAAAATAAACCTCTCTTCTTCTAAGTTGCTGGTGTCAGGTATTTTGTCCCAGTGATGGAAATCTGCTTAATATAATATGAATGAGCCTCTATCTAGATTCTCTATTCTGTCCTATTAATACATATGTCTACCTTACATCAATATCACATTGTCCTGAGATATGTCTTTGCGTATCTTGTGTCTATATATTGAAAATGCATTTCTTAAAATAATGGCCTACAGGGATTTGTTTAATTTTGGGTTTTTTTATTTTTTGTTTTTTTGTTTTTTGGTTTTTGGTTTTGTTTTTTTTTGTTTGTTTGTTTTTTTTTTTTTTTGCTTTTAACTTAGTATACCTCTGCTTTTTCATTGGAGCACTTAATCCATTATTTACCTGGAGACCACATGTTTATAGACAGAAACTCTCTATAGCCAGAAAATACATAAGACTACACTACTAGCAGGGCACCTTGAAGTTAAAATAGTAAGTGGTCATGCAGTATGTGCATATCATGAGTGTCCCTTAGACCATGGAACAAGCTGCATGCTTTTGGAAGAGCTCAACCCCTTCCACCACCACTTCAGGAAACTCCTGTCCAGTCATAGCTTGGTTATCCCATGTATGACCTACACACCCATCATAGGGCTTAGAAACTATTAGCCACTATACACTTGCTGTGGTTTTCCAATGGAGGAATGAGAAAGATGTAACATCCTGCTGATCATATTCAGTTAGCATAATAGTGAGTTAATATTTACTTTTTTCTTCAAGTACCAAGAGAATTGCGATTACACAGGTTATAAAATACAGATATGGAAGAGCTTATAAGTACTTTCAATCATAGGAAAAATTTTAAGATGCCAGATGTTTATCCCAACGACCCTTACATAAACTGAGGAAATTACAGAAATATCTACTGATTGTGCTTAGTTTTGGAGCCAGGCAGAGATACCTCTGGACCAGCTTCCTGAAAGTCCACATGTTCCAGGACCAGCTGAAGGTCAGCAGTGTGGTCTGAGTGGGGCATGGAAGGCACCGTTGGGTTGCTGAGAAGAAAGACAAAGGAGGGAAACAAAAGGGACCAAAGCAGAGGCAGGAGGGTGGGAGGGGTTTTGTGAGACTGTGAGGACAGACCAGGGGCAGGGCAGAGCGGCCTCCCACCCACAGAGAGGGTGAGGAAGGACCACAGAGAACAAGGAGAAAGAAGACTTATTTTGTAAGTCTTGAGATGGACTACCAATCCCTAACAACTCTAAGCCTTAGTAAAACATCTTATTTTTAATAACTTCCTTTTATGCAGAGACCAGTGAATGTTGCATTAGACTGACCTGCAGAGAGCATGCACAGACACAAACAGGAGAGGTTGTTAGAGGACAAGGGCCATGAAATAAATCAGATCAGTGGGAGGAAGGATTGGGTTGTAGCCTTTGAAGGTTCCTGAAACCACGTACCTCAGGTCTTGGGGTCCCCTGAGGTGTATAGGCTGGGTCAGAGTTGACAGGACATTATTACTCATGTCAGAAAGCACATTGTGGTAGTTTTTCTCCTAAAAACTCAAGGGAGCTAAGCTGAGAAAACCTTTCATCCTATATACAGAGGATGGTACCTTGGAAGGAACCATCAGACCATCCTGAGAAGTTCTCAACAAAAATTGCAAGACATGCAAAAGTCAGTGAAAGGAACAAATCTGGCACAAGAGCCAGAGTAAGATGTGGTAGGAGTATGAATAATCACACAGGAGTTGGGCCAGGATATATCCACTAAGAGCTAAAATGGGAGAGTAGACACTGGGCAAGAGCAGAGATGCAGTGCAAACAGAGATGGAAACTCCAAAAAACAGAAAGAAATGCTAAAATCAAAGCACAGGGAAACCAAAATGCAGAATGGCTTACATTGGTTCATGAGTCAATTGAATAGAGCTAAGGAAAAATTAAAAGTAGATCTGAAAACATCAATAAAAAGTCTTAAAAATAAAATGAAAAGTTGAAGGAGGTGGAAACAAAACATCCAAGAAATACACAAAAGTATCAAAAAAAGTATAGCGCATACAATCAGAATATTAGAAGAATAGAGAAAGAACTAAGACCAAAAATATTTGAAGAAATAAGAGTTGAGAATTTCAAAATTAATGACAGGCACCAAATAAGGCCCACATACAGCAAGCCCAGGGCTAACTTCACACTCAGCGGGGGCTGGGGATTTAGCTCAGTGGCAAAGCACTTACCTGGCAAGCACAAGGTCATGTGTTCAATTCCTGGTACTGGAAGAAAAACAAACAAACAAACAACAACAAAAAAAAAAACCTTCACACTCAACAGAGAAAAATTGAAAGATTTTCCTCTAAGACCAGGAACAAGGCAGGCTACCCATTCTCACTACCTCTATTTACAGTATAACATGGAAAGTCCCAGCCACAGTAATTAAGCAAGAGAAAGGAATAAAAGGCATCCAAATTAGGAAGGCATATTGCCTGTGTTTGTGGAAAATGAGATCATTTATGTAGAAAATCCTAAAGAATCCACCAAAAACTGTTACAACTATTAAATAAATTCAGCAAAATTTTAGGACACGAATCAACAACAACAAAAAATCAGTACTGTTTGTATATAATAACAGTAAACTAGCTGAAAAAAAATCAAGAAATAATCCTATTTATAATAGCTACAAAAACATGAATAGGAATAACTTTTATCAAGGAAGTAAAACACCTGTATATCAGAAATTATGAAACAATGGTGAAATAAATTGAAAATACAACTAAGTAAATAGATATCGCATGTACATGCATAGAAGTCATTTGAATGTCTAGATTATTAAGGGATCTAGAGTAAATTTAATATTAATCAAAATCTCAATGACATTTTTCAGAGAAATGGAGAAACACAATTCTAAAACTTGGATGTAAATACAAAAGACCCTGAAAAGTCAAAGCAATTTAGAGTAAAATGGACAAAGGTAGAGACATCAAACTAACCGATCTCAAAATTTAACAAAAAGTTACAGTAGTCAAAACAGCATGATAGTGGTGAAAAAAAGACACATATACCAATGCATCAGGACAAGGAGCCAAGAAATAGATCCCCACCGATGGTCCACTGATTTTAGATAAAATGCCAAGAGCACACAATGGGAGAAGATGGGTTGGCTCAATAAATGTTGCTGAGGAAGCTGGATGTCCACATGCAGAAGAATGAAATTAGACTTTTATCTCATCACAATTCAAAATGTGTTTAACTTCAGCATGAAACAGGAAACTATTAAAATTATTTGCAAAAATTTATGGGGAAAGCTTCACGGCATGGGTCTGGCTGATGATTTCTTGATGTCAGTTGGTTTTTGGTTATGAAAACAAAACCAAAATAGACAAATAGGGTTGCATCAGACTGAAAAGCTTCTGCACAGCAAAGGAAATGATTAATGAAGTGAAAGAAACCCAGGGAATGAAAGTATTTGCTAACTGTACATCTAAGAGATTACAGACATTCCTCCTTTAACAACTGGGTTGCATTTCTGCACTACTGAATTGGTTACTAAATAAGGAATTGTAAATAGTATGGACGATAGTCAGAACAAAGAAGTGATCAGAGGAAGCTCCAACCTGACGACTTTGCATTTATTTGCATAACTCTTCTATGCAGTGCTGTAATGGATAACAGAACGTAAAGCTCCAGGGCTGTACAGTACAAGCAGTAAACACTGCAATATTGAATAAACAAAGAGTACCATACCATAAAAAGACACTGAGGCTCTATAAACAAGATGCACAGAGCTGCAAAAGAAGAAAGACACCCATGCTAACATTTTAGTCATAGAATCTTTCAAAGTCCTCATCAGTATCACCAGCAGAATTACTATCAGGAGATGTGAAAGCCCAAGGAAGGGAGAGGATAAAGCAGAAATGGAAGAATTGGTAATAGGGCTCCTGGGTGTCGCTTTCAAGAAGAATTCTGTTAGTGTGGTCTGTTTTGTCATTTTCTTTTTTGCTTCATAAACTTCATGAGAGCACCGTAAAAGTTTATTCATTTGCTGTTCCACTTTCATGAACCACTCAACATTTGGACCCACAGCCTCCAGTTCTAACAGAGCTGTTTTGAGAACACACTGTAGACAATAGACTGTAGACAGTATACTCACCCAGGAATCTGTGAAGTCTCGTACACAGAATCAAAGCAGAAGCCACCATGAGGCCACACGGCTGCTCATGCTTCTACGCTGTAAGTCCACATGCAGTCGTAAGTGGGAGCGGCAGATCATAAGTCAGAACAGTCATTAAACAGGCAGGTCACTACACATGTAGTATCTGTAACATAGAAAATGTATATGGAACTCAACTCAATAGCAAGAATACAACCCACTCAAAAACTGTGCTAAGGACCTGAATAGAAATTTCTCAAAAGAACACGTTCAAATGGCCATCGGGCACATGAAAAAAGGCTCACCATCACAGATCGTCAGGGAAATGCAAATCAAAACCACAAAGAGGTATCACTTCAGACCTGTTAGAATGGTCTTTATCTAAAGGTCAAGGACAGCTATTGGGTGAGGAGAAAAAGAATCTTGCACATACTTGGTGAAAATTAAATGAGAATAGCCACTAAGGGAAAGGGTATGGAGGAAATGGAAGCACCATAGGATCCTGCTATCCTGCGGAGACCCAGCCAGGGGAATTCACGTCAATGTGTTGAAGAGTCCTCTGCCCTTCTCGGTCACTGCAGCCCTATTCACAATGACCAAGATGTGGAATCAGCCCATGTATTCATCAGCGGACGGGTGGATAAGGAATCTGCAGCATGTATCCCGATGGAGTAATACTCAGCCACAGAAGAAGACAAAATCTGTCATTTGCAGCAAACTGGGAAAGAATGGGAGGCTTGTGTTAAGAGAAATAAGCACAAAAAGACAAATGCTGATCGCCCCGTCCTGTGAGATCTAAAAAGTCAAACTTATATAAGAAGAGAATGGATAGTAGTTACTGGAGGTTCAAAGTTAGTGTCAGTCATGGAGACAAATTTTCATTTGGGTAGAAAGAATTAATTCAACTAATACACATCACAGTGACTATAGCAAGCAATGTATATATGAAAATCGCTGAGGCAATGGGATTTCAGTGTTCACACACTAACAAGTATGCATGTACTAAATAACTTAGCCTTCCACTGTGTACATGAAAATCTGCATACCATAATTATGTGCAAAATTTCCTTAATACATGCAAAATTTTCTTGTTAATTAATGTTTTTAACTGGCAGCCACCAAACTAGAGATACACAAAACTCAGAAACACCACATAAGTAAATACCTAAAAGTCTGCACCTAGGCATATCATATTCAGACTGGAAATACAAAGGCAAAGAACGACTTTTAAAGCAGCCAGAAAGACAGAAACCTTACCAGAGGACAAGAACAGGAGTCTGTTGCTCTTTTCAAAAACCACATAAGCAAAAAGAAAGCAGAATGAAAATAGCTAATGTGTTGAAAGAAAAAATATCTATCATCTAGAATTCCATATCCAGTGAAATTATCCTGGAAGAAAGAACAAAAATAAAATGTCCTAAGGCACATCCTAACAAATATAAAAAGTAGGAGTCACAAAGTATGTTCTCAGACCATAATGGAATTAAATTAGAAATCTATAATAGAAATACAGCTGGGGACTGCAAAATATTTGAAGGTTAAACAGTGTATTTCTAAAGAGCACACAAGTCAAAGAAATCTCAAGAGAATTAACCTAACATACCACTCAGGGAATGAGAGAAAGGAAAGTATTTTAAGCCTAATAAAAACAGAAGAAAAGCAATAATAAAAATCAGAGCAGCAATGAAATTGAAAGCAAAAAATAATGGAGAAAACTAACAAAACAAAAGCTGGTCATTTGAAAGGATAATTAAATTAACTAATTAAGCCCACAACTGGGCTAGGAGAAAGAGAGAACACAAATTCCCAACCTCAGAACTAAAGGGAAGACCATCACTGGTGCCCTAGGGCACCTTAAAGGGACAATCAGGATCACCATGAACAACGCTATGTCCCAAATCTGACCATCAAAATTAATGGGTCCATTTCTCAAAAGACACAAAGTATCCATATTCAACCAAGGATAAATAGATCATCTACATAGTCCTGGATGGATTAAAGAAATTGAGTCAAAAGTTTCTGAAAAGGAAGGCACTAAGCCAGGAGAACTTTACCAAACTAAGAAGAAGGGATACCAACACTTCACAATCTCTTCTAGAACACAGAAGCACAGGGAATGCTTCCTAATATATTATATGATGCCTTCCTTATCCTAATGCCCAAATACAAGAACAAGACTAGGACATTAAAGCATAGGAAAACTGTAGACTAACTATGAGCTTAGATGCAAAATCCTTAACAGAATATTTACACATGAAATGCAACAATGCAAGGAAAGAATTGTATGACATTGCTCAGTGGGATTTATTCTAGTTATACAAGTTTACCCATCATTAAAAAGTTAACATCTTCTATCACATAAACATACTGAAGAAAACACATATGATCACATCAGTTGATATAAAAAAGGATTTTATAACACTAATATAATTTGTGATGAAACTTTCAAAAAGAACTAGATATAGATGGAAAATGTCTTTGTCCTGGTAAGGAATAATACCAAAACCTGCAGCTAATACACATAGTGTATCCACACTTAGTGTGGAAACCTTGAACCCCCTCCATGGATGACCAGACACGGAGGTCAGGCCAGGGAGTCCTCTCTGACCTGTCCTCAGCATCACTGAAAGTGACAACCACAGCAAGGACACCAGCAAAGGACCTAGAGGGGTCCCAGTGGTGGAGCCAGAAGTGCACTGAGCTTTGTTTATAGATAGCATTCCTGTCTGTGTAGAATAGACCCAAAATTAAGTCAACACCCACAGTAACAAAACTGTAGTTAAAAAGTGATGAGAGATTACAGCCAGCTTAGAGGCCACAGGGTTGTTATATAAAAATCAATTGTTTTCATATACACAAGTGGTAAATAATTAGAATATGAAAAAACAATATACATAATTTCACCCCCAAAACAAAATACTTGAGTGTAAATTTTAAAAAATAATGATATATGGATTTATGGGGAAGAAATTGCAAAACTCTGAGGAGACAAATCAAAGATAGCTAAACTATTTCATGTTTGTGGATTGGAAGATAATACATAAGAAGTCAATTCTTTCCAACTTGAATTTATAGGTGATCAATAAAAATCCTACCAAAATGTTTTGGGGATATTGACAATCTGATTCTAAAGTTTATTATCAAAGGCAAATATTTAATATGGGCAACACAATGCTCAAAAAGAAAAAAGTTACAGATCCAACATGAGCCAACTTCAAAACATGTTATAAAGTTGTAATAATCAAAATAGCATAGTATGTATCAGTGTGGCAATGAAAAGATAGATCGATAAAACAAAATTAAGGCAACAAAAATGGATCCACACAAATATAGTCAATTGATTTTTTTGGTCAATTGATCTTTGACCAGAGAGCAAAAACAAGTCAAAGGATAAAGAAGAATTTACAAAAACACTGCTGGACCAACAGAACATCAACACATAAAAATTCCAATAAACCTAGATGCAGACCTAACCCAACAGCTGACTCAGAACTACACAAAATTCACTCAGAATAGATCACTGACCTAGTTTTAAATCATAAAACTTCTAGTGGGAAATAGGAGATTGTCTAGGTGACCTTGTATTTAGTAATGAAATTTTAGATACAACAAAAGTATTATCCACAAAAAAAATGTGATAGGTTGAATTTTAAAGTTAACATCTGTCCTGCCAAAGACAGATTATTAAAAGAATCAAAAGGCAAGTCAAAGGCTTGAAGAAAATGTTTGCAAAACTCTTATCTGATAATGAATTCATATCCAAAATGTACAAAAACTCTTAAACTCCACAGTTAAAAAAAAAAACCCACTTAAAAAATGGGCTAAAGATCTGAACAAACAACTCCATTGAAAAGATATGCAGAGAGGAACTAACATACTAAAAACTGTTCGCTACTATTCGTCATTAAGGAATTTTAAATTAAAACAACAATGAAATACCACTAACCAGGAGAAGTGTTGGGATATTAGAATGATTAAGATCCAAAATTTAACAGTACAAAATGCTGGTAAGAATACAGAGAACAACAGGAAATCAGTTGAACTCTGAATGAATTCCGTTCATTGTTATTCAATACAAAATAATTCTAAGGCATTTCAGCAGTTTCTCACAGTGCCAAAGACAGTCTTAAAATACAAGTCATCAATCACATTCCTAGATATTTTCTCAATTCATTTAAAAACATATGACCCCATAAAACCTATACAGGAATGTTTATAGAACCTGTACTTACAATCCTCAACAATGGAAGCAACCATGATACTTTTCAAATGGTAAGGGGACAAACCAACTGTGGTAGTACTATACAATAAAACATTACTCAGTGAGAAAGGAAAGGAGTTACAAAGTGTGGATGAATTTCCAATATATATGTACTAGATTAAAGAACCCCCTTAGCTTTAAAGAAGCCATTCTGAAAAGCTGCATACTGTATGATTCTCATTATGTGACATTTCAGAAAATTCAAAGCTAGGGACGTTAGGAAAGATCTATGTCTATATCTTAGGCAGAGTTAGAGAGAATGGAGAGTAAGCACAAATAAGAAAGCCACAGCAGATAATTTCAGAGTCATAAAACTATTTGTTGTATGTGCTTATGGATACATGAGTTCCACATTTGTGAAAAGCAAGTGAACTTTATAAGTTAAGGCTAAGTAAGGTTCATGAAGAGTGGACCTTAGTTATGCCAATTAAAGAAAATCATTTATGAAGTCAGGTGAATCCTACTATGGGAAGCAAAATGTGATAGAAGCCATTTCATTGTATGTCATTGAAACAACTTTACTTGGGGGCAGAGTGGGAAGTTTCTGGCATAAGTTACTTTGGAAATGAATCAAATCCAGATGATAAAAGGTTTTAAAAACTACATGTTGAGTAAAGTACTCTACTGGGTGAAAATGTTTCCCATGAGAGTATGGGTGAACAATTCATGCATGCTAGGAGGGAAGGAGTTAAAACACAGAGAGTGAGAGAGGAGCCAGGTGCCCTGAGTGGGAATTTACAGATATGGGGGAGGTCTCTGCAGTTACAGATTAGAACTGCAGTTGTCAGTCATTGTAGAATTATGTTTAGTGTCACACAGATGCAAATGGTTACATACAGATGTGTATGGTGCACATGCATGGTGTGTGTGCCTATAGGTCAGTAGACTCACATGCATTTTCTTGCTCCATCAGCTAAGACAGACTAGTAGTAACAACATCCCAAGAGCAATGAGTGCATCTAACACCCCTGTTTCACCTGACATCTCCAAGAGAAAGCATGGGACCTGCTTGGAGGATCCACTGATTACATGCTTCAAGCAGGGGCTACACAAAGTGAGACTGCAGCACCTGTTGGTGATACAAAGCAAGCACTCAAAATGTAGGGCTTACTACAGGGATAGAGCAAACAACAAAAATTGTTCTCAGAAGCCAGACATAGAGCAACCTGGGCCACAAAATGAATAAAAATATTTAATAATCTAAATTATAAAATAAATGTGTGCAAGTTCAAGCTGAGATAGAAGATGAGATGAATAAATGGAAAAGTAGAAATATCTCAGATGCAAAAGAATTCCAAATACTTAGTGCATTTCCCTCCTCCTAGAAGGTAAAAAATTGACTTCCTGCTTCTCAAGCAAGGGTCACACCATGACTGCCTTCCAAAAAGCACAGAGAAGAGAGAAGCTACAACAGGGGGACTTCAAAAGCATGACCTTGGTCATGCAGACAAGGCCAACATCAACAACGTCCATCACATTGCTATAATATGCCCTTGGTGTGATGGGATTGAAATATCTGTTTACCTCCTGGTCTACCTTCCCAGTCACACACAACTTCAGTTTACTTGAAAAAGAAATGCCAGAAATTGCAAGACATTTTACAAAATACCTAACCAGTACTCCTCAACACCGTGGCTGAAGTCATCCAAACGCAGAAAAGTCAAAGCAACTGTCCCAGCCAACAAGATCCTAAAGAAATATGATGACTAAATTAAATGTGAAATCCCACAGACCATCTTGAAACACAAAATGAACCTTAGATTAAAAACTAAGGAACTCTGCATAAAACAGTCTTTAGTTAGTAACATCTGCATATTGATTCACTGTTGAAACAAAAGTACCACACTAATGTTAGATAATAATAGGAAAGCTAAGTAAGGGAACTCTGAACTACCACCACAATTTTACTGTAAGTCTAATAGTGCTCTCTGAAAAATTCATTTAAAACAACAACAACAAACCTATAGCTAACATCATAAGTGATGGTGAAGGGCTAAATACTTTTCTTCTAATTACAAAAATATTCAGGCACAGCCACTGTCACAAAGCTTCCTCATCCCCAGATGCAAGTCCAGAAACAGGGCAAGAAAATGGGGGAATAAAGGCTGAGAGATCAAAAAGAAAGAAAGAAAATTGTCCCTATTTTCAATGACACAGTTGTCTACATAGAAAATCCCAAGGGGTCTACAGAAAATTCCTAGAACTACTAAGTCAGCTCAGTAAAGTTGTGGAAGTTAAAATCAATCACTAAAACCTCCTGCATGTAAATATACAAATAACAAACAAGTAGAAACCCAAAATCAAAGTATGATATCATGTACCATAGCTAAGGAAGAGAAAATAACTAGCTAGAAATCCAACAAAACATATGCTGAAAGTTCAAAATACTGATAAAAGAATCCTAAGACTATTATTAGACAAAAGGAAGAGAATAAGGACAGGAAGGGGGGCATAAAGAAAAGTTTTGAAGGGATGTGTATGATCAACATATGTCATGGGCATGTATAGAGATACCACACTGAAACCCAATACACTGTAAAATTAACAGACCTAAATAAAAATATTTTTTAAAAAGCAAGTTAAAAAAATTAGGAAATAAAAAAAAACATACCACATGCACAGGTTAGGAGACTCAATAAAGAAGCTAATTCTCTCCAAATTGAACTACAGTTTTCATCTAATTCTTATGAAAACCACTCATATTTCTTCTACTTATAAACAAACTTATTCTAAAACTGACACAGAAAAGCAAAGAAACTAGAATAGCTAAAAAAAAATTGAAAAAATAACAAAGTGGCAGGATGTTAAGTCTTAGCACAGGACGCCAGTGATCAAGGCAGTGGGTTGATGACACAGGAGAAGGACCCATGGGGCACACTGGAGGATTCATAAGTAGACCAGCTATGAGAGGCCCAAATAGTTGTTGTGAAACATAGAAAAATAACTGAATAAAGAGAGGTGGTCTTTTCAATAAATGGTGCTGGAAAGTACAAATCCACAGGCCAGAGGAGCCGGTCAGTACAGTCCCCAATTATCTGTAGTTTTACTTTGGGTTTCAGTTACCCATGGTCATCTGCAATTCAGAACTGTTGAGTGGAAAATTCCAGAAATAAAACACTTGATAAGTTTTAAGTTCATGTCGTCCTGAGTAGCTTGATAACACTGTGGGTCACTGTGCTCCATGCTATGGGAATATGACCTCCTTTACCCAGTTTATCGATACTGCCTACCCTGTAGTCACTTAAAAGCTAAGTTATCAGATCAACAGTCTCAGCATCAAAGTGCTTGTGTTCAAGAGACACTCATTTTATTTGCTTTATGGTCCCAACTTGCAGCAGTCATGACACTGACAATTTTATTATGGTATATTGTCATTATTATTCAATTTTATTAATAGTTATTATTAATCTCCGACTGTGCATAGTTTTCACATTAAGCCTTACTGTAGGTATATATGTATAGGAAAAAGTTACATATAATATACGGTTCAGTACTATCCACAATTTTAAGCATCTGCTGGTAGTCCTGAAAAGTATTCTCTATAGATAACGAGGGACTGTGATGGAAGAATAGATAGATTACTGGATTTGGTGGTACAAGACTGTAATTCTAGCGCTATAGGAGGCTGAGGAAGGAGGGTTGCAAGTTCAAGCCTATCCTGGACAACTTAGTAACTTGGAAAGATTCTTTCTCCAAACAAAAATAAAAACTGGGCCAGGGATGTAGCTCAGCCTGAATGCTCTGGATTAAATATCCAGTACTGAAAAACAAAGAAAAACAGGTAGATATTTGAGATAAATAACTTTCTTGTAAATTTACCTCATCATATACAAAATTTAATTTAAAATATATCACGGATTAAATATTCAGATCTAGGAAAATAGTTCTTGGATTTGATACCTAAAGCACAATCGAGTATTTTAAAAATTGATAAATTAGACTCTACCAGTGCTTAACAAATTATACTTCATCAAATTTTAAATGCTGTTCAACTCAGAAAGACAATAAAAAGACAGGCAGAAACTCGAAGGGTATATTTGCAAACCACTCTCTTTTCACAGTGGCTGGACCATTTTATACTCTCACTAGTAATGTAAGAGACACCTAATTTCTCCAGATGTTTCTCAGTGTCTTAGTCACTTTCCTTACTGCTGAGACACAATACTTTACACCCACAATCACTCTCTTAATGGCCTCACATCTAGAAAGGCGTCTCAAAATTAAACAATATAAACTACCTGGTCTGGTTAAAAAGAGGAGAAAAACATGAGGCGACCCTGCTTCAAAGAGCAGATACAGACAACAGGTGATAGTGCCCAGTGAATCTAGCTCTAACTTGCCTCAGGGGAAGACAAATTTAAAACCACAGCGAGGAGTGATCATAAAGATGTCAAAGTTCAAAATCATGGTAACTCCAAATGCTGAGCATCATAGTCTAGATCTACAGTGTCTCTCAGAAGGCTCACGTGTGCAGAGGTTCAGCTTTTGGGAGGTGCTTGGACGATGGGAGCAGTGCACTCACCAGTGGACTGGTCCAAAGTGGAAGATCCCTGGGGGCGTGGCCTCCACCTTCAGCGCCTCCCTTCTCTCTGCTTCCGGGTCACCAGGATGTGAGCAGCTGACCTCCACCAAACCCTTCTGCCAGGCTGTCCTGCCATAGAGGCAGCCGACTACGACCTGAATCCTCTAGTAAATGTGAACAACAACAACCACAAAAAAACCACTCCTGCTTTAAGTTGTGGGTGTAAAGTATTGTGTCTCAGCAGTAAGGAAAGTGACTAAGACACTAAGAAACATCTGGAGAAATTAGGTGTCTCTTATATTACTAGTGAGAGTGTAAAATGGTCCAGCCACTGCGAAAAATAATTTGACAGGTTGACAGACAAAGCTAACCGTGTATCAAGCCTACAACCAAAAGAAAAAAAAAATGTGCTTTTTGGAAGTTATCCCAGAAAGATGAAAACATATGCTTCGGTGAAAAAAGTATGTATCGATATTCACAGTAATATTCTTATCGCAGAAACTGGAAACAAACGTTCTTCCAGGGATGAATGCCTCACAAAACCCTGGGGCACTCATACAGTGGAACACTCCTCAGTAACAAGAACAAATACAGAGAAACAAATACAGAGAAACTAGCCACTCATTTAAAAACCAGGATAGAGCGCAGAAGCATTACAGGCAGAGGAAAAATCGGTCTCAAGATTAAATACGACATACTAATGCTTACATATCATCTCTCGAACAACCTACCAATGTACAACTGATATGCAGAAACGCATGCATGAATCTACACAATACTCCAGTTCCAGGCGCACTCACGCGGCCCACTTGTCACCACAATCAAGGTGACAGCATAGCCGTCATATCCAAAAGTCTCCTCGTGCCTCTGTTTTGGATTAATTTGGTTTGATTTGGTTTGGGTTTTTTGGTGGCTTTTGTTTGTTCGCTTTGGGGTATTTTTTTCTATTTTGTTTTGTTTTTTGTGGTAAAGACACTTACCATGAGACCTACCTTTTTTTTTTTTTTTTTTGAGTTAGGGTCTTGCTAAGTGACTAATTTGCCCAGGCTTAGCTCAGCCTTGCAACCCTCCTGCCTCAACCTGAGATCCAGCCTCCTAGCACTTTTGCATAATACAGCAGGCTTAACTCGGCCTGCTACGTTCTGATCTGTAGATACGATCTTCAGAACTCACGTCCTTTTCATAACTGAAAACGTGTGCACAGTGGAGTCCCTGTTTTCCCTTCTCCCAAGACATGGCAACCACCTCTCCACGCTCTGGCAGAATTGGGTTACTTTAGATGTCTTCCCTGACGAGAATCATGCAGCGTTATTCCTTCTCTGGTTGACGTTTCCCTCAGCATAACATCCTCCAGGCTCATCCATGTCTTTCTGCCTATGCCTCAAATGGTCCTACGGTGGGCACAGGCTCCCCACTGCTCAAGCCATGGAAAACCCTCAGCCTCTCTGTGCTGGTCATCAGGACCAGTGGGCCTCCACGTGGGCAAAGCTCAAGGGGCACAGGCAAACCCAGCCTCCGTCCGTGCTCCCAGGCCAGCCAGGCACGCTCCTTGCTTGAGGCCAGAGGCTGAGACACTGACTACCAATGCCCCCAGATAAAGAGCAGTCTTCTTCCTTTTCAGTGATCAGTGACAGACCCACCTGTTCTTCCTCCATTCACCCGTCTGTGTGCGCCTGCCTCATGACCATATCTTAACTCCAGTCAGTAACGCTGCCGTGAGCATGGGAGCGCGGGTATCTACAAAGCTGATTTCAATTCTTTGGGATATATATGGGGATTCCTGGGCCACAGGATAGTTCTATTTTTAACTTCCGTAGAAACTTGCACATTATTTTCCCTTGTACTCTCAGGGGAATCAGCAAAGTGACCAGAAGGCAACTGATAGCAATGGTACTGGTATAGAGCTAAATATCTGCCTGAGAGACACAGCTTTCAACTGAATGTGACTAAAAATCGCCAGGGTCTTTATCAGCTCTAATTGTCCGTGTTTTTATTGGGATTTGTTGCCGTGTTGAGGTGGGGGTGGGGGAGGGGAGCTTGTAAACTGCACAGAGCTGTAAAAATGAAACTTGACTTTCACCTTTCTTCCAGATGTGTGACTCTGGTCACACTAGCTACGCTGATGCATTTCATATCTTACTAAAATAGGTAGATTTACACAAGCAATATCTTCAAAACATATTCCAGAAAATATAGAAATTCCACTGTCATGAAAGAAATTATAAAACTGCTTCTCCAGAAAATCTCTAAAAAGGAAAAAGAGAAAAAAGGGGTGGGGACTTGGGCACGGTAAAGCTCCAGCAAGACTGCTGGGAAAACGTAACTGAAGAGATTCTGATTGTTCTCTTGCAGCACCCTCCACCCTGAAATAGACACCTCTCCCATCCACCAGAAAAAAAATATCCCAGGAGCAAAGCAGTGGGGAACGTGAAGAGCCTGTTGACAAAAGAATTCACCTGCCTCACAACAATGGGGAAAGAGGGAGCAGACAAAGCTATGGAGCAAGAGCCTTCTTACTGATGAATCGCGGTCTTCACAGTGCTCTAGGAGGGCGCAGGAAGGAGAGGCTCACCTGTCGCCATCCAGGGGAGGGCCCGTTGTGAGCTGAATGGGCTTATCAGGGGACAGGGATACAGCTCTGGCTTCCAGCCCCTCCTCAGGGGAACCTGACCCCACAGCCCCTGCCGGAGATGAGCCAAGTCTCACAGTGAGGCACAGAGGCCATAGAAAAGAAGAACGTTTTCTCCCAGAGAACAAAGACACCAGGCTGGGGGTGCGACACTCTTGGCTCCTGCAGGCGGCTGGAGCTTATTCTGAAGGAAAATGGCTTGGCCATAGCTCCCCGGGGAGTATGATGTCATCTCTGTGGGTGACACAGGGAAGCACAACCCCCTGCTGCCTTCAGAAGAGGGCAGGGGAAACCGGCAGGGCCAGGAGGGATGACAGGAACCTCATCCTGCCTTCCTGCCAGCTTCCCTAATGCTTCAGGAGCCCTGGCCCCTCAGCTCCTGGGTGGTGCTGGCCAGACCCTCCCTCTCGTATGAGAACCAAAGGTCCTTGAAGACAGAGATTTGGGAATGAGGACCCCAGGTACCTAGTGCAGTCAGTTACTCCATATATACTTGTTGGGGGTAAATCACTGAATGAATGCACCTAACTATGGGATAAACACTTGGGTTTTAAAAAAATGCCTTGGAGCTGGGCACGGTGGTGCACATTTGTAATCCTAGGCTTCTGGGAGGCTGAGGCAGAAGGACTGCAAGTTCAAGACCAGTCAGAACAATTTCAGACACCTTGTCTCAAAAATAAAAAATAAAAAATGAGCTGAGGATGCAGCTCAGTGCAAAGGCCCTGGATTCAACTTCCAGAACTCCCACCCGAAAAAAAAAAAAAAGGCTTGGAAAAAACCTAGTGTTTCTCTAAAACTAGATTGTCTACTGTTTCCAGTTCCATGGTGATTGATAAGGAAGTGTGGGGCTCTGTCACTCACACTTGCTCACGGGACATTCAGAATGGGGAACCCACAGGTACTCTCGCATTTCCATTGAGGAGCTGTAGATTGAAGGTCTGGCTGCATTAAGTGCTTGCTGGGGGACCCAGCTTTTGGCCTCCTCAGCTCGCACATTTTCGGTAGAAATCATCAGAACAAAAGCCAATGACAGCTTCCAAGCCTAGTCTGGTTCAGCTCCTTTGAAAAGGAAAAAGGATCCTGTGGATGCGATCACTGCTCCTGCTCCGGACCTCTGCTTCCTGGGACTTCCCAGCTTCCTGCCTTGCTAACAGACTCCTATCTGTCCTTGTCAGATGACAATATCAGGATGACTCATTGCTTCTGGGGTTCTTGGAATTGTCAGGACATCAGAGCACTGTGCCACCCAGGACCCAGGGACAACTGCCCTGGACACTCCTCACTGCCTCCCTGGAGCATCTTTTACTCTGGAGCAGCACTTCCTGGCGGAACACACTCTTGCACGCTCTCAGCTGGGGCTGCCTTCTGCCTAGCACCAGCTCTACCTGTGGGCTGGAACCACCCACTTCATCCTCAGAAGCACTACAGAGAAAACCAGAAGATGCTGGTCCCATGGTCTAATGGACCACCTCTCCAGAAGAGACACCGTCGTGTCCTCCCGGTAACTCTTTGTCCAACAGGACTCTCATGCTGCCTCTTACCTTTCTTCATTAGTCCCTCTCCTTTACAGCAACTATTAGAAAACGGCAATGAAGTCTAAATTTCTGGGCTCATCAGAAGTCAGGACCCACGGGTTAGCAGCGTGCTGACTGCACTGAGGTGAGTGATCCCAGCCCAAGATGTCCGTGTCCAGGACTCAGCTCCCAGCATCCCAGCTAGAGAGGAAGAGTGCACATCTACTCGACCAGCTTGGACTTTTTCCTTTTCTGCCAGAATGTGCATTGTTTTCCTGAATATTTCTTCCAGCTTGTTATGTACGAGGGGGCCTGAGGCTAGATGAAGATTAGTCATTTTAGGAAAAGGAAAAAGAAAGGGATAAATCGTTTGAGAAAAGCGCACGCAACATAGTACACTACTAAAACTTTTAGGGACACGCATACTCAGTGACTTTAACTTGCCCTCATTTCCAAGCTGTCTGTTTCGCCTCTAAGATTTTGCCCTGGAGAAAAGACCCAGGAGGGAGAACATGCGTCCTCACCCCGTTCTACATTTGTCTTTTCACCTGTTGCTTAATGCGCTGCACATCTACATGTAGAAACTCATAAATGCGCGGCTTTCCTCTCTGGGCTGAGCCTTTCCCTGCCTGATCCAGCCCTCCGGATGCCGTCCAGAAGTGCCTATGGTCAGCCACCTTATCTGCGCCGCATGCACGCAAGGAGCAGTATCCTTTTCCTTCTTGCACCTCAACATGAGCATTAGCCTTTCTGTGTGCTTTTGTTGCGTTGATCAAGTGAATTGTGGCCATGACCCCCACCTCATCCCATAATGAGGTGCTTCTGTTTGTCTTCCCGCTATGACACAAGTGGTGTCCGTGTCCACCACTAACCTGACTCCATGGAAAATGGGTGAAGTTTTGGCAGGACA